CTTATAATTTAAAAATAAATACTACAAAAAAATAATTCTTATTTTCAAATATTATTATACCAAATTTTATTTATATATTTTAATAATTTAAAAAAATAGATCAGAGCTAAAAAAATGCAAAAATACAAACAAATTTGTCTATATTAGCTTATAATCTAAAAGATAGCTTCTTAGTATAGAGATAAAAAGTAATAGAATCAATAATTATATTTAATAGTTTAAAGCTTATTTTAACAGATTAATTATTTAATCTTAAATAATTAAAAGTAAATAAATAGAGGTGTAGTAATTTAGTAAAGTGAATAAGTTGTCAATCTTTTAAGTAATAGGTAGTAAGTTTAAAACCTATTATTAGCAAAAATTTGGATAATCTTCTATGTAATATATAGGCAGTATTATGGCAACAGCATTCTGTCTATCAGTTGGAATAAGATACCTGCAAATATGGTTACACCAGCATAACTGGCAGGTCATGAGATAACTGCACAATGTTGAAGTTATATAGAGGAATACAAACTAGCATCAGGTAGTACAAATCTAAAATAAGTTCTTATGACTGTATAAATCTGTAAAACTAGAAAGCTGGAGCCTACTTGAAAAGACCAAAATAGAGAGGTAATATGGATCTTTAACAGTACTACTGTAAAGGCTAAATCTAGAAAATGAATACTGATGTAGAAGGCATTGGGTAGGCAAGAACTTTAGATGAGAAGTACTATTAACCAGCTACCAGAAGTTTCAAATTGGAAGAAAAGAATTTTGGAAGAGCAGATCTTTGAGGTACCAGAAACAGAACACAGTTCTTTCAGGCTATCTGAATTGAGAGTCTGAGGTCTAAAGCAGAATATAGCTAAGTACTAGAGATATGCAGTAAAGTTAGTACTGGAATTTGAATAACTTTATAAAAACAAGCTCTGTTAGCAAAGATTAAATATGGGTAATTAGTTAGCAAACAGGCTTTTTGGAAATCTACAGTTAGGTGACATACTTTAAAATATGTAACAACTTGACAGATGTACAGATAGGAAGATTAGAGTTAGGTTAGACAGCATCTAAATAGATGTACAAAAGCTTGTATACTATTTGCTAATGTAGTATAGAGATAACCTTATACAAGTTATGTAATTATAATTGAATTTACAATAAAGGCAATAGTTACCAATAACTAACAGTCTTAGTAAAAGCAAAAAAAAAAAAAGTAAATAAATAAAATTAATTATTATATCTTAATTTTTTGAAATTTTCTTAAATTTTTTTTAAATAAAACATGTGTACAACTTGTATATGAATAAAGAAAGCAACAAACTTGTATATAGATAAAGAAAATTAAGAATAAGAAAAAGTATATAAAAATACATATTATAAAGAATAAGAACTAAGAAAATATATAAATAAATCTTGAGTAATATATTTATGTTTATTATATTTTATGTTAAATAAGCTTTTTTGAATAAACAATTAGTTAACTTAAAATATATAATTTATAGTAAATTATATGCAGTAAAGTAAGTAATAAGGTAGTTTTTAAATATATAAAAAATATAGATTATATAGAAGAAAATATAAATTATATACAAAAAACTATGAATCATTTGAAAGAAAATATAAAGATATTTAAATAAATACTAGTATGTAACCTATCGCTTACGCTGACAGCATAGGAGAAAATAACAAAGTTTATATAAATTAACTTTATTTGTAGATTAGTAAGAAATTATATGATATAATTGATTGGCAATTTAGTTATATGAGAATAAATATGTTGTATCTGAAGTAGCGATATATCTAAAGTAACCATTTTATATATCTAAAGTAGTATGCTAGCTAAAATTAAAAACTAAAGCATGCATGAAGATCTAAATTCAGAAGGTTAATTTTAGTGAAGCACTACTTCAGATAAATGGCTACTTCAGATGCTACATATACATAATAATGTAAAAACTATAGGTATAAAGGTTTTATAGATAATATAATAGAATTAGAGTTAGGTTAACTGCACATTATGATAGAGTATTGTGAAGAGTGAAGTAGTGTTGTCGCAAAAATTGGGAGTACCATGATTAATTAAGCAACAACATCTTCTTCAGCATTGGTGAAAAATTTTTGCTATTATATAATATACAACAAAATTGGTTAAAGTCATTTATGCTAGAATGTTATATAGAATTAGAATTTAGAGGTTCTAATAGTAATATCATATAAGGAAAACAGTTTGTTATTGCATTGTAGGTAGTTTATTATGTAGATTTTAAGTTATAAGTGTCTTTAGACTAAACAAATGGTTATTTTTTTTCCAATTTATAATATTACACTAAACTTAAGTCTTGTTAGTGACTTATTTTATTGAGTATCATGTAATAGTAAAATTGTATACATAGTACTTTTTATGATGATTCTGAAGTAGTTAACAACTATATTAATGATATTCTAATTTTTATCTAAAAATTAATAGCTGCATTAATATAAAGTAGAAAGAATATATTAAATTTTTGTATTAAAATATTTTATTTAATAACAAAATGTTGATTTTTCTTGGAATTTATAAATTTTTGTAAGTGCTTGTTTTTTTTAGCTTTAATTTTTTAATTTGCATTTGTATGTTATACATTGATTTTATAATTGAATTGGATTAACTTCACAGAATCATTAAATTGTTATGCTATCACTATTTCACTCATTTCAGAAGATCGAGTATAAGTGTTGTGAAAGAAAAAGTTGTTATCGGACATTCAATTATATTTCAGAAACAGTTGGTTGCTTGTAGAAATTATTAACAAAATAAAATTGAATGTCAGATAACAGCTTTTCCCTTAGTGCTGCATTTAGTAAACCTGGAATATTATTCCCTGTTTTTTAGAAAAATGATCTGTGATCAAATTTTATAGCTAATAGTAGATCTTTTTATTGTGTTTGATATATTGAATAGCAAAGTATTGTGATTAGTAATGATTATTTGTATTATCATCTAATCTCTTAATGTCTGGATAGGATAGTATTCAATCTAGGTGACTTTTTTAAATAGTACATAGGCACTATATAGAGCAATATATGTAAATACTAATTCTAATTGCATCAAAAAAAGTAATTCTTACTACAATAAAAAAGTATATGACTTTAAGCATTTATTTGAAGACTTTGATATGCATAGTAAGAGAACTAATATGAAAATATGTAGCAGAAGTTTGGTATTTAGATAAAAAATATAATCATATTATATAAAGAAAATGACATATTCATTAAAAGTATTAATTAATTAAATCTTACGTAAATAATAAATAATAATACTTAAATATTATTTATTTGAAGTATAATAAAATTTTGAGTATTATAAAGTATATATTAAAGTGAATTATTATAATTAGTAGTCTATTATGTTATATATTAAGCGATTGACATAAATTTATTTAATTTAATAAAATACTTTAAATGCAATTTTTTAAAATGTAATTATTTCAAATTAAAAAAGAAAAAGATAGCACAATTCTAAATAATTGTATTTTATTGAGCATAAGGTGTTAATTAGTAGTTATGAGAAATACAATAAAGTCTCATGTCTAAATATTGAAAATGAACATAGACGTAAAAAAAAATAAATTATAATAACACTTTAGGATATACAGTATTTTGTGTATGACCTATTTCAGTATAGTGATCTGTGAGCATAATTTTTAGATTAGTCCTAAAGGTTGCTCTTGAGCAAGCAATGTAAAGTTGGCCATGAGAAAATACTGGAGTTGGTAAATAAACTCCTATGCTATTTAGAGTCTGCCCCTGGGCCTTATTAATAGTAATAGCAAAGACAGGATGTACAAGAAATTGATGACACTTTAGAATAAAAGATAAATTGGCAACAGAAGTAAAAACAATGCAAAAAAGAAAAACTCGGGTTCCAGTATATTTTTTTGTAATAAGTTCAGCTTCAATAACATGATGTGTAAAAGCATAACAAATTAAGCATAACCCATTGCATAGACTTTCTGCAAGGCTAAGATTATGAAGAAGCATAATTGGGGTACCAATTTTTAATAACAATTTGTATAAAGAAATGCCACTCATCTTTAAATTGTTTAAAAATTCAATAGAGTAGAAAGTTTCGTAATTGTATTTATAGCCCTCGAATGTCTTATCAATTGAATTTGCACTCAAATATTTAGTCGCATTACCTAGAAATAAACTCATAATAATATTGTTAATAAAATCAACATCAGCATTTTTTGGAACAAGAATTAAATGATCTATTAAGTCTGAAGTATCAATACATATTGTTAGATTAGGATATACAAAATTAATCAGATGGTGAATATTTTAGAAGGGAAGAAGAATATCATCAGGAAGTTTTATAAGATTACTTCCTTTAGATATTCATAGAATATGATCTTCACTAATTTGTAGAAGAAATTCTGCAAATTGTTGTTCAGCAGTATGCATCATATCTTCAGCTTGATGTATATATATTTTTTTGTTAGTTCATTATCTTAACATATCACTACAAATAAGATCACTGCAGACATGAAGCCATGATGTCTTCTCTTCAACCTTTAGATATTACAGATAATATTTGTATAAAGTCACTATCTAATATAAGAATTTTACCTCCAAAAGGTTTGAATTCTAAAGTAGTATCAATTGCTTTTATTAGGTCTTTTAGAGTTTGATCAAAAGCTTCAAATGCTTCTGACAAATTATAGGAACTTTATTCCAAATAATAATGATAGCCTCAGGGAGGAAAATTCAGACTCAAAATTGGGTGCGCACTGCACACTAAATTTTAAATGTAATGTGCACATTGTGCACTTAATTTTAAATTTAATGTTCACATGCCGCACATATAATTAAATATAATGTGCGTTATATAATTATTATACTTATTGAGAATATTTGAATAATGCAAAGGGAAAACCAAACTATGGGTTTTTAAGCTTATA